GAAATTAATTGATAATGTCTGATCTCTCTCAGTGGATTTGATTCTGGATCCTGATACAGCTCATCCACATCTCATTCTGTCTGATGATGGAAAACAAGTCAGTCATGGAGACATTGAGCAGGACGTCCCAGAAAACCCAAAGAGATTTGATGTGGGTTTGTCTGTTCTGGCAAAGCAGGGATTCAGTTCAGGGAGATTTTACTATGAGGTGCAGGTGAAGGGAAAGACTCAGTGGATTTTAGGACTGGTCAGAGAATCCATTAACAGGAAGGGGTGGATCAAACTGAGACCAGAGAATGGATTCTGGACTGTGCTTCTGAGGAATGAGATTCAATGTACAGCTTCTGAAAATCCACCTGTCTCTTTATCTCTGAGAGTGAAACCTGAGAAGGTTGGTGTGTTTGTGGATTATGAGGAGGGTCTGGTCTCTTTTTATGACGTGGAGTCCAGATCTCATATCTACTCTTTCACTGCTCAGACTTTCACTGAGAAACTCTATCCATATTTCAGCCCATACCCTAATGGTGAAGGTAAAAACTCAAACCCACTGATCATCTCACTTGTCAGTTAAAATGAAAAATCAAATTTGAGAAGATTGCTGGGGTTTTTTTTGTTTTTTTTTTAAGAATTGGCAGAAACTACAATTTCCAATTATGGTACATGTTTTTTTGTAAGGAAATCTCTGAAGCCATTTTCTCTCTCTCCTCTCCTGTTAACCCTGGTTTCCTTGTGGAATATTGTGATTTTTGGTTTATATTTTAATAACTGCAGCAGCTGAATAAAGACAAGCGTTCAGTTCTATAACTGATATTGTATATAAACTAAACAGCTTTCTAATTATGCAAATACACATGAATATCTAGATGAATTTTGCAACAGACAGGCGGGATATGAATAAAACATGGAGGATCTTTACTGTTGACTTATATACTGAATACTGAATTATTATTCAATGCAGATGACCCTAAAATCTAGTACATATTCTTTAAGAGAAGCGAGAGCATTAGAAGGCTTCACAATGACAGTGTTTTTTACTTTGTTTTGAGAACAATATCAGCGAATCCGTCCACCTGAGTGAGCTGACGGCAGTCCATCGATGCCAGGAGCTTCTGAGAGCCAGAGACGGTGGGTATAAACTTCTCCATCAGTGTAATCGTCGCAAGCTTCTCCACATCACTGACAGACAAAAACAATATCAACTCTATGGAAGCTTTTCATTCTTTAAATATCATATTTAATGAAGAACAATTTATGTTTTTAAGCAAATCTAAAGTGCATGAACACTTAAGCCCAATTTATACTTCTGCGTCGACCTCCCGCCGTAGCAACGTCGTAGGCTGTGTGTAGCGTGCGTACCCTGACGTGCACCTCTCCAAAAATGTAACAACGCGTCAATTCTACGCGAACGCAAGCGCTGTGATTGGTCTGCTTGAACCGCTCCCCGGGTTTCACATGCTCCCTCTGCAAGTGTAATTGCGCGTCAACGCGTACAACGACGCAGAAGTATAAATGAAAACTAACGCGTAGTCTATAGCGTAGAGGCTCCGGCGTTGGTCCGACGCAGAAGTATAAATCAGCCTTAACACATACAAGATTTTTCTGACGCTCTACATTCCCAATCCCTCTATATGGAACAAAACTTTCTTCAACACTTGTGACGGCGGGTTCTGGAATGTGATCTTGATATTTGAGATCTAAGATAGAGAGAATAAATTTAGACTCTTCCTCACAGAAAACTTCATATAGTGTACTATTATGACACTTTATTGATGCAGCCAAAATGCAACAACATGTAAAACTGTTTTGTGCTTGTTATACATCACAAATAAAGACTAGAGTCTCATTGACTTACAGTGATGATGAGATTTGGAGTTTGCAGTCGGAAGTTGAACTGTGTGGCCAAAATCAGTTTGGTCTGATTGACCCGTCCGGTGACCGTGAGCATCACAGCGTCCTGAGCATCAGAGCGTCCTGATCCACCAGATGATTCATGGATTCAAATCCAGGGAATAGTCTTGGCTGGAAGGGGGACTAGGGAACATGGCATTAATGACAACAACAAAACCATTTTTGCAGTGTCATTTTGCACTGTAGTTTTGTGTTTGATTGGGTGTGTTTGTTTCCTACTCTCTTTTTTTTTTAGAGTCCCTTGATGTCCTTTTTTTAACTGCATTGTGGCTGAATTGCTGATTTTATTTCACGCATTAACAAAAATGAGCCTCTCATCCCCCTCTCCTATCGCCAGCGGGCAGCGGGGTCCGGTTCGAGAACGCTATGCCTTCTCACGCGTCCCCTGCCCAACCGTGGAGCCAGGTAAGTGTTGCATTGTGCACTCAGACCCCACTTCGGGACGCTACGCCTTCCAAGTCGGGCCCCTCATGTTCCTATGAGAGAACACGGCGTTCGCATCCTCAACTACCTTGATGACTGACTCATACTGGCCCAGTCACGAGAGCAGTTGTGCCAACACAGGGACCTTGTGCTTTGGGTCAACTGGGGAAAGAGCAAACTCTCCCCCCGTGCAGAGGATCTCTTTTCTCGTTATGGAGATGGACTCGGTCAACCAGTTAGCGGGACTCACAGAGGAACATGCTCAGTCTATGTTAAACTGCTTGAATTCACTCAAGAGCAGGACAGAGGTCCTACTTAAACACTTTCAGAGGCTCCTGGGGCATATAGTAAGGACGCTTGGATTGCTTCATATGAGGCCGCTTCTGCACTGGCTTCACGGCCGAGTCCCGAGATGGGTGTGAAAATCAGCCCGACCTGTCACCAAACCTTCAGCCCATGGTCGGACCTTGCGTTTCTACGGGCAGGAGTTCCACTAGAACAAGTGTTTCCCCAAGGCATGTTTTAATGGATGCCTCCACATCTGGCTTGGGTGCCATGTACTGCTTCGGGTATTTGGACGGGACCCCAACTGCATTGGCACATCAACTGCCTTGAGTTGATAGCAGTGCGTCTTGTGCTGGACAGTGACTCAAATAGTGCCCTATTTAGGGGACAATTTCAGACAACAAAATAGCCAACAAACAGCAGCCGCCTTTTAGAGTTTTACAGACACTAAATGAAAAACTCAGTCAAACTGGTATATGAATATCAAATACAGTAGTTTTTTGCCATTTAAAGGTGCTCTATGGAACTTTTAGCGGCCTCTAGTGGTGATGTTTCAGATTGCAACAAGAGCGCTCGTGCTCGTGTGCGATCTCAGGAGCGAGCATTCACTACCGGCCACGCGGAGACTTTCAACGCAACGGCGAAAGCATCACACAGCATGCTGGAAACTCATGTAAACTCCCACTGCAACATTATAATAGACTACTTTTATCAGCTTGACGTTGAACTAATGCTCCATGCTCGTACCATGATAACGTTACATTGACTGCATTTAGCCGACATGTGATGTTATCTAGCATAGCCTACGGCATTTCACTAACTATTCGTGTATCTTTCACAATCAACAATGTCAACATAGGTGAATGTTTAATAATGATAACGAAAACGGTTAGTGAACTAGACTGAACAATGTCAGTGTAACAGTAAGACAGTAGGAAGTAACATTACTGTACTGAACGTGTCTGGAAATGTTTATTATAAACAATATGATAGTGGGATGAATTACGTTATAGCGTAACGATCTATAATGTAGATCTAGTACATAAAACAAGTATCCTAAAGCACCTTTTCTTATCCTGGAGCAGTCTTTTGTATTCATTCCATGTCTCATGCAGTTTACCTTGCTATTTCATTTGAGTTTACTAATAATTCAAAAGCTCTGCTGATGTTGTTCCGTGTTTTCGTCCTGAGTCGATCAGAATCACGTTTGGCCTGACGAGCTTCAGCAGATAAAACTTTGTTTTGTTTTTTATATTTATGTGGAGTTTGTGTTGGAGTGTGTGTTGTGCTGGAGGCAGGTCGTTTTTGGGTGTTATCAGACTCCATGTCGTTCGCTGCAGTGCCGTCGCATAGACTGTATATAAGGAGAGAGGCTCGGGAGCGCGCATGCACGTCACATCCGATGGATTTCGCGGTAAATCCGACCCGGAGACTTCACATATAAATATGAATATTGGCCTTCAGAGGTAATAGCAAAACCCGACAAGTGGATCATTGTAATGTGTGATTACAACCCCTTCACACACAGGCAATAAAAAAAGGATTCATTTTAGAAGAAAAGTTCCATATAGCACCTTTAACTAAGAAAATAATGTTGTCAAGGATTATTAAGGGTTAAATCCAATTTTAGCTCCGTTTGTAAAGGACCGCACTGTTTAAAAAATGTAATAACACAACTAACCCTGTAAGTTCTATCCATGTAAACTCGTGTTAAAGCTATAAAGTTGTCATTTTATATCAATACACATTAAATAAACATTCAAATAAATGATACACAATATAGATAAATTAAATAGTTTGCATTCACTTGCCCTAATAATAAATATAATGTTATGACTGCAATGACTAATAAAAATGTATAATGAAAATAGTTGACAGGACAATCAGTTTTATTATTGATTAGTCAGGTCTGTATGCTGTGAAGGAAGAGCATTCATCAGTAATGCCACTTTACAATAACGAAAAACATTGTACAGACAAATGTGTTGATTTTGGATATAATGTTTGGCATTGTAAATAGAGCAAGTGACTTTAAAAGCAACTCTTGAGTGATTTAAAACCATCTTTCTTGTAACATGTACTGACAAAGCAGACAAATGTCATAAAAAGATAAAACAACATTAAAGAAACTTTAATAATTTGATAACTATAAGAAATAACTGCCATGCATGTAAACTTATGAAATATTAGACTTTGTGCACACAATCTTTACATGATTTCATTTTCTGCTACTTTTCAAATGGCTTTATACATTTTTATTGTTTTACCTTTGTCCAAGAACCAGGAAATCATAGAGGATTTCACTGTGAAACATATGTAGTGTGTCGTTTCTATCAGGCTGCAATTATGTAAAATGTAACTTTATATTCTAAAGGTTTCTTACACCATTAACACACTCAGCAGGGCTAAATGAGGAACTGGTCTGTATTTGTGATTATGGGCGGAGCTATATGACATCACTGCAGATGAGTAAAGTAAACTCAAGTAAAAGTGAAACTAAACAGGAGCAGGAAGCTTCTTCAAACCACATTTCTTTTCAGAAACTCTGAAATTAACAACCAGATCTGATATTCACTCACAGGTAAGTGATGGATATATAAGAGCTATAGTTCAGTAGTTTGGTAGCATTTGAAAGCAGCATCAGAATGTTGGTATAAGTACTGTCATTTTTTTGGCTGTAAATCAAAGTCACACTTTAGAGACTTAGACTAGTAACAGAATGAACGAAAGGGTTCGGGTAGTTTGAACGACCCTCTTCCTTACTGCCAGAAGTATTTTCCTGAGGTGCTACTGTAATTAATCAAAAAGTTTTGAAAGTTCCTTTGGCAAGTCGTCTCCAAAGGAAGTTCATTTTGGCCTGATTTTGTAGCAGTCTCACACTGGCAGTCAGAGGCGGAGCTTTTAGGCTCAGTGAGGTTAGAGTTAGTGGTGGAGAAACTTCCTGTTAGAAACTGCTGTCTCATGCCTGCTTAAGGCACAAATGGCTGCTTTGACTGCTTTACAGTGGTTCATAGTTTAAGTTGTTATAGGTTTTATTTATATTTTTAACCATGCAACATCCATTTTAGAACACAAACTAAAATATTCAGTCAGTGCACATAACTTGTATTATGAAAGTTGCTCTTTTCGGCAATGTAGATGAAATATTGTCATTGCTTCGTCAGTCATGGCATCCTCCAGCGGTCCATCACTAAATGAGGAGCTCCAGTGCTCCATCTGTCTGGAAGTGTTCACTGATCCAGTCACCACTCCATGTGGACACAACTTCTGCAGAACCTGCTTGATCAAGTGCTGGACGAACACACAGACCTGCTTCTGTCCACTCTGTAAAGAAAAATTCAGCAAAAGACCTGATCTCAAGATTAATACAACACTCAGAGAGGTTGTGCAACACTTTAAGGAGAAGCTCAATCTAGGAGAAACTGAGGTGTTCTGTGACATCTGTGATGAAAGAAAGCAGAAAGCTGTGAAGACCTGCCTGACGTGTCAAAGCTCTTACTGTGACTCTCATCTGGAGCCTCATCGCAGAGTCCTACGTCTAAAGAAACACACACTGATCAATGCTGTGGAAAATCTGGAGAATTATATATGCCAGAAACACGAGAGACCTCTGGAGCTGTTCTGTAGAGATGATCAGACGTGTGTTTGTCTGTCCTGCACTGAAGGAGAACACAGGACTCACAACACTGTTCCTATAGAGGAGGCGAGTCGAGAGAAGAAGGTAAATATCTGCAAACAACACTTAAAACAAAACACTTAAACCCTTATAAGATTTATAACCTTATAAGGATGACACTTTGGCTGTTCCTGGTTATTTTTGAACAGTAAGAATGTGACTTTTGTTATAATATATGTAAAAGTGTTATAAAAATTTAATTCCCTGAAGCACACTGTAAAAAAATTATATGATCAATCAGTCATGGCAACTTATGTTTTTAAATAGCATTAACTCTCCAAAATTATTTAAGCAATTTCAACTTTTTAAAAAAGTTATGCAAGATTCAACCCAATTTTTTAAAGTCAGTTTAATATAATTTAAGTTGAAGTGACTTGAACAGCGATTTGAATATCACAAACTCACTCAAACTCACACCTGCAAGGAAGTTTCTAGTAATCCTGAAGACCTTGACTAGCTGGATCAGGTGTGTTTTATTAGGGTTGGAGCAAAACTGTCCAGAGCTGTGGCCCTCCAGGAATTGAGTTTAGAGAAATGAAGTTCATAATGGAAAAGCCCAGGAGTCAGAAGGAGTGCCCTCTGGTGGAGTTTAAGGACACTCCAGCTGGTGGATGTGACATAGATCCCCATTATTTTTTACATTTATTATTAATGTAATTTTATATGCTTTGAGACATGAGGTAATTTAACACCGTCTCTCATGACACTTATTAGACGCTCTTAAAGGTAGGGTAGGTCGTTTTTGGTCTAAAAAACTTTTTCCCAAATTTGTTTAAACTTTCTATATATATCAATGCATAATTAAAATGTAAGTACTCTGATAAAAAGAGTATACAAATCGAGTGACTCTAGACCGTTTAATCTGCACTAAACACAGCTCATTATTTCCTTTCGGGACGAAACAATGGATTGGCTTAGGCGACTGTCACTCTCTCGCAACCATGGCAACACCCCCGCTGCTACATGCGCTGCCCACATGCGCGCACTCGTTTGACTCGAGGAGGGCAAGAGACTAGTAAGAGACACAATTACATGCAAAACACGGCGTATATGTTATGAATCTTACACGAAATTCACCTTCATCACAGTGTAACTGATTGTAATGGGAAAACGTGTATCAATGCAACCTGTTTTTAGCTTTGCTTTGTTACTAGCTCGTTAACGAATCAAACTCAATATATTTTAAACTTTACCAGTATCGATATGCTAGCTTGATAGTGAGTACTAACAGCCATGTTAGTTGTTTATATTCATAATGATAAAGTTAGGTATTTTATTACATGTGAGTCTGACATGATGTCACTACATGCACTGCTCCTCTCCGCTGGGCGCTGGTAAGCGCGTCCTCCAGCTGTGAAGCCCCGTTCACACTACAAGCGACTTTGTCGCTGCATGTCGCCAGTGGCTGGCGATGAGGTCGCTAGTGGGAGTTCCTACTACTGGTTGCCTTTATGAATGACATCCAATGATGTGGAGAAGGATCATACGCGCTCCGCTCCTATTGGTTGTCGCTCCCGAAAGTCGCTCTCCATTTGCATAAAGTTAAACCGATCTCAACTTTGTCGCGTCGCCAGACACGCCCCATCTGGTCGCCGTCGCGCGTGTCGCCGGAAGTCGCCCACTCACCATTGAAATGAATGGTATCGCGTCGCTTGGTCGCGTGTAGTGTGAACGGGGCTTGAGCTGTCGGCATCGCGCGTTCATGTGTTTTGGGGGCGTGGTTTTGGAAGGAGCCCAGAATGGAGGGGGTGGAAGTGAATGGAGATAAGTAGCTGTGTTTATTACAGCCCTGAGAGGACTACAGACACTCGATTTTTATACTCTCTTTTCCAGAGTACTTATATTTTAATTATGCATTGATATATATAGAAAGTTTAAACAAATTTGGCAAAAAGTTTAAAAAAAAAATCCTACCTACAATACCTTTAAGGAAGGGCGGGATCTTAGGCTTTCAAAACTAGCTTGCTAATGCTAGCCACTCTGAAATTTACCCTACCTTTAAACTGCCAATTGTTTTTTTATTATAGATCTGCTAAAAGCTGATTTTGTCAACTTTTAAAAAATTAATTTAAAAAAATCAGAGGATGAAGTTATCTGTTTTTCTCTGTATGTAGAATCATCTGGCTAAGAGACAAACCGACGTTCATCAGATGATCCAGGACAGAATGAAGAAGATTCAAGAGATCCAGCACTCAGTAGAGCTGAGAAAGGTTAGTGGAAGTTAAAACATTGCAAAATTGATAATACATTATAATATTTAAATCGTCTTAAAGGGATATTTCACAGCTGGAAAGATGAATGTGTATTTAAATTGGGTCATTTATGTAGTAGAAATGTGAAATTATTTTAGAAGTTGGTGCCTCCTAGACTGAGAAAAGCCAGAAAATGTATTTTTGGCTCATGTGGATGAAAGACAACAACTCCCAGAATGCACTTGCTTCGCTGCCCTACGAGGCCACTCCCAAGCCATGCCTACAGGTTACAAAGGGCAGTATCGGAAGAAATTATACAACTAGGCTACTAGTTGACTCGAAACTGAAAAGACGCCGTTTTATCATGAGATCCCACTCCCTATGGGCTAACTAATTCCCACTACTGGCTGTAGTCTATAGCCTCTGGCCAAAAAAGCCTTTGATGACGCAAAATTACGATTTTTTGCGTCAACTGAGTTTTTTTTCCAGACACACAATACAGAAATCTCTTGACTCAGGGGGACATGAGGGAGGGAAGCAGGGTCATTCGAAAATACTGGGTTTCTACTGGTACAAAGCTTAATGCTAATCGGTGAAGTATCCCTTTAATAAAGGTTCTTAATTAAATAGATAAAACTTAAAGGGGTGTTTCAGAATTTTGGACATCGGACCTCATTTCCAAGTTAGCCTGGGTGTTATTTATCAGTGGAGACAGTTTTCAAAAATTTTCATCCAGTCCTTCCAGTTGCATAGTTCGCTGGTGCTAGGCTAGCGCGAGTCAACGGTAACTGCTAGCCTGCCATTATAAACAGTTTTACCCACTCCACAGTACATCAAAAGCAAATAAATTCTAACGCCAGAGTAACGATGTAAATGTCTGTTGAGAGAATAATGTTAGAAATCAAAGTACTCTTGCATCTCAATGATCGCATTACATTTACAGGAACTAGTTTCTCAGCAGCGGCGGAATTTTACTTTACTCCGGTCGTAGTACTGCGCTGAAAACACAGAACAGAAGCGCACTACAGTCGGGACTACCTGCACTACCTCTCTCTACCTCTCACTACCTCTCTCTCTATCTCTAACACTACCTCTCTCTACCACTGATCTATATAATGACTGGATAGCTCATGACGTTCTAAACTGCCACCAGGCAGTGAAGCCACCGGAAGTGTTCGAGCGGCCATCTTACGATTCCCTACCAGCAGAGGGCTCCAACGGCCGTTATACAGCGATTAGTAGCTCTGACGGCACTTTTAAGATGACCCGCTGTGCATCTACAAGTGTAAAACGAAGATCACAAAAGGATCTTGAAAAACTGCTCACAGGTTGTACTTTTAGCCCATATATAGTAATTTATATGCACAATTGTCGCTATTTCCATGTTGTTTTAAAAAAAAATGGCTTGTTTTGGGCTTGTTTTTGAAGCTACAGCTGCTTATTTGTCTCGCGAGAGTTGGCAACTGTGGTGTAAACCCCTTATTTACACTGCACACATCTGCGGCGCATTACGGGTCTGACAATGTTTTATTTCTACCTTCACGCGGTGTCAACTCACACCAGGAGCATTTCCACGTGATTTGCCGATTTGTGGGCGCGATCAGCTCCGGTAACGTTAGCCGTGTCGCAGCTGTAACGCACCGCAGACGTGTGCAGTGTAAATAAGGGGTAAATAGGAGGTGAAACAGGTGTACATTAACCCATACAATTTGTATTATGCATTTCCTGGACATGCTCTTGCTAACTAATCAAATACTTGAACAGACTACTGATCTATCTGTAAAACACAATCAGAAAGAGCTAAATTTTAAGTTCACAATTCACTTAATTTTTAGTAAGCAAGAATAATTTCCGGCTTTAAACAAATACCCATTTAAATGCTTAGGATGTTTGTGTTGTAAGACTGTTCAGGGAGACTTTAGATTTAAATACGGTGTCTCGTTATGCAATGTTTTCTTAGTCAAATCATACAATTTCCTATCCACCTTATTCCTACGCCCCATGATGCTTTGCGCGAATTATGGGTGTAACTTCCGTTAAGCTGTAAACAATCAGTGAAAGGCTCGCTCTATGAACGCAATACGTTAAAAACGTGTCACAATGAGATGACATTAATCTACTCACCCTTCAACCATCGAACATTAAAATGAAATTTAAAAGTTTAAAATAATCAACAAGGTCAACAGACCAAAAATAGCCCCAAACGCGCGAGTCTTTGGTTAAATATCACTGTAGTAGGCAAATATACCTATTGTATAACAAGCCTTAATCAAAAATATTCATTAACTTCAGCATTACGTGACACTATATCAAAGTGATTTCCGTCATTTTGACAGATAATAAATTGCATTTACCTGTGAAAACAAACCTGGAAAGAAACGTGAGGATTTGAGGAGAATAACGAGAGATTCTTCGTGCATTCCAGTGAATTATTATCGTAAATTAAATTCGGGAGAACAGACCACAAATGTGCCGTATATGTTGTACTTTTTCATCCTTTTACAGCGAATTGCAAAGGAAAAAATAAAAATCATCATGAGGAAAAGAAAGCAGCGACTGAAAAGAGCTCTTGCCATAGATATATTCTTGTTATAACATGTCACGTTAAAATACCAAGTATAACGTTATTCTCATGATGTCTGAAAATAAATCATGAAGGAAAATTGACAGCTCATCCAGTCAAACTGACGGATCAGCTTTATTTGAAGGGTAACCTTTTGAAATTATTAGTTTCAGCCTTTTTGAATGGAAGTTCCCCAAACCGGAAGTGCCACCCATAATTCAAAACGCAGTAAGGTCGTCAGGAATAAGGTGGATTTATTCAATAGAACGCGTGAGCTCACTAGGGTAACGCCCCTTTTTTGGGGAAAACAAACGGATTCCCCTGAGAACAGAACTCGCTCTAGATCTGCTAAGTTTCTTGATAGCAAAAATGGCACAAACATACACACTCTCTTTGCCGGCCGAGGACCGTGAGCGGTATTTAAAGAAGAGCTGGATACGGGGTTACAGAGGTGTCCCTTTGAAATGGCCGGAAACTGGATTAATGACCCCACGCAGTGGCCAAATATGGACTATTCAGACATCTAACGTTACCACTATCTCGTGGAATCTCCAAGTAAGTAGCCTATTTATTAATTTTTTTGTCATTAACACTCACAGTATGACAAACTAGACGATGAGGCCATGTCACTTGGATCATATTTAACTTGATTTAAGCTATTGACATAGTTTTGTTGTCGACTAGCTATACTATAACGTTACTGTTGAAATAGTGGCAGGCTAGGACTAAAGTGGACTTGGCTGGTTTCTGCTTTTGTCTAGAAAGTGCTAGGACTTTGAAAGTTGTAAAAAGGTTTACAGTGTACGGCAAAATATGTATAGGACCAATGTATGTGTATGGGGCTATCAAATTGGATGTTGTGACATTACGCTATCCTATCTAGCCTAGAAGGCTTGATCTACTGCCGTTCGTGTTGTTACATGTAGCCCAGAGCAGTGCTCGTCGAAAAGTCATATAGGCCTAAAGCACTTTCTAGACACAAGCAGAAACCAGCCAAGTCCACTTTAGTCCTAGCCTGCCACTATTTCAACAGTAAAATCAGTTAACAGCCAAGGTAGCGTGCCTAGTGATAGCTAATCACGTAACGTTAGCTGCTAGCAGCTTAGTCTTTCTAACTAGTATAGCTAGTCGACAACAAAACTATGTCAATAGCTTAAATCAAGTTAAATATGATCCAATAAGTGACATGGCCTCATCGTCTAGTTTGTCATACTGTGAGTGTTAATGACAAAAAAAATAGGCTACTTACTTGGTGATTCCACGAGATAGTGGTAGATGTCTGAATAGTCCATATTTGGCCACTGCGTGGGGTCATTAATCCAGTTTTCGACCATTTCAAAGGGACACCTCTGTAACCCCGTATCTGTCACAGTCATCGTCTGCACCATTCTGTCTTCGTCATCTTCACTACACTTCCCAGCATCCTCTTGTCTCCACACCTGAACTCACTCCCTCAATCATCCACCTGTTCATCGTTATCATCATCTGTGTCACCTGTCTTCACATCATTAATGTTCATTTGTCTCTGTATTTAGTTTGCTTCTGTTCATTCTGTCTTGGTCGGTCGTCGTCTATGTATAGTTGTAGTAGTGTTAGTTTTTTTTGCCTGCCTGTACCTGTTTTGAGTTAGTTATCAGTAAATGTTTAAATTGGAGCCTTCTTGCCTCAGACTCTTCTTCAACCCGCACCACAACCCGTGACAGAACGACCGACCCTTAAAAAACTGAAGATGACCGAGCGGGAGAGAGGACTTCCATTTGCGGGGACCCGGTTGGCCATATTTCGCGGGACCCGTGGAGGCCGCAGTAGAGGAGGTGGTCGTGTAGAAGCCCGACACCACTCTACATTCTGGCCTCTTTTCAACCCTGGGTTGATTATGTCCAGTCCAGGGCTCCATCCGCCACCGTGCCCGTCTAGCCCAGAGCCCTCGCCGCTGGTCCGACCCAGCCCAGATCTTCATGTCACGCCTGCAGAGCCAGTCTTCGAGCCAGAGCCCGCTGATCCTGCGCCAGAGCCCGCTGATCCTGCGCCAGAGCCCGCTGATCCTGCGCCAGAGCCCGCTGATCCTGCGCCAGAGCCCGCTGATCCTGCGCCAGAGCCCGCTGATCCTGCGCCAGAGCCCGCTGATCCTGTGCCAGAGCCCTCTTCACAGCTGGTCCTGCCCAGCTCAAAGCCCTCTTCACTGCTGGTCCTGCCCAGCTCAAAGCCTTCTTCACCGCTGGTCCTGCCCAGCTCAAAGCCTTCACTGCTGGTCCTGCCCAGCTCAAAGCCTTCTTCACCACTGGTCCCATCCAGCACAGAGCCCGTCGCCTGCCCGCCAGAGCCTGAGACCGTCCAGCCAGAGACCGTCCAGCCAGCTCTGAAAGATACAGTGCTGATTACGGCGATCTTGTGTGTGTGGGCTACACACACAACGATCATGGCCCATTCGGCCAGTTCAAAGCCCTCTTCACCGCTGGTCCCGTCCAGCCCAGCAGAGCCTTCACCGTTGGTCCCGTCCAGCACAGAGCCTTCACCGCTGGTCCCGTCCAGCACAGAGCCTTCACCGCTGGTCCCGTCCAGCACAGAGCCTTCACCGCTGGTCCCGTCCAGCACAGAGCCTTCACCGCTGGTCCCGTCCAGCCCAGAGACCCCTTCACCGCTGGTTCCGTCCAGCCCAGAGACCCCTTCACCGCTGGTTCCGTCCAGCCCAGAGACCCCTTCACCGCTGGTTCCGTCCAGCCCAGAGACCCCTTCATCGCTGGTTCCGTCCAGCCCAGGGACCCCTTCACCGCTGGTTCCGTCCAGTCCGGAGACCCCTTCACCGCTGGTTCCGTCCAGCCTAGAGACTTGTAATGACTCTGTCACTCTTCCCATTTATTTTTTTGGGGGGGGCCATAGGCCCTCGCCGTGGCCGCCCGAAGGGTCCTCACCGCCATGGCCGCCCGAAGGGTCCTCACCGCCATGGCCGCCCGAAGGGTCCTCACCGCCATGGCCGCCCGAAGGGTCCTCACCACCATGGCCGCCCGAAGGGTCCTCACCGCCATGGCCACCCGAGGGGTCCTCACCACCATGGCCACCCGAAGGGTCACCACCGCCCTGGACGCCCGAGGGTCCGATAGCTCCGCCCTGGCCGCCTGCACGTCCTGCTCCGCCCTGGCCGCCTGCACGTCCTGATCCGCCCTGGCCGCCTGCACGTCCTGATCCGCCCTGGCCGCCTGCACGTCCTGATCCGCCCTGGCCGCCTGCACGTCCTGATCCGCCCTGGCCGCCTGCACTTCCTGATCCGCCCTGGCCGCCTGCACTTCCTGATCCGCCCTGGAGGCTTCCTGTCCCTGTTTGGCCACGCCCTGGCCAGCCTTCAGGGCGCCCACCCCCCCCCACCCCATTGATGTTCTACGGCGCGAGGTCGCGCCTTTTTGAAGGGGGGCGTTATGTCACAGTCATCGTCTGCACCATTCTGTCTTCGTCATCTTCACTACACTTCCCAGCATCCTCTTGTCTCCACACCTGAACTCACTCCCTCAATCATCCACCTGTTCATCGTTATCATCATCTGTGTCACCTGTCTTCACATCATTAATGTTCATTTGTCTCTGTATTTAGTTTGCTTCTGTTCATTCTGTCTTGGTCGGTCGTCGTCTATGTATAGTTGTAGTAGTGTTAGTTTTGTTTGCCTGCCTGTACCTGTTTTGAGTTAGTTATCAGTAAATGTTTAAATTGGAGCCTTCTTGCCTCAGACTCTTCTTCAACCCGCACCACAACCCGTGACAGTATCCAGTAGCTTCTTTAAGTTTGTGCCATTTTTGCCATCAAGAAACTTAACAGAACTAGAGCGAGTTCTGTTCTCAGGGGAATCCGTTTGTTTTCCCCCAAAAGGGGGCGTTACCCTTCGATGACACAAAAGTAGCGTTGGTCTATGGCGGCGCGGTGGCTTACGTTTATGAGCTATCCAGTCATTCTATATAGATCAGTGCTCTCTACCTCTCTCAGTTGCCTAGGTAACTTAATATCACTCCGCCACTGCTGTAGACTGCGCTAATAAATACAGGGAACAAAGTATAACTATTGCAATGCGATGAAAGGGTAGTTTGATTTCTAACATTATTCTCTCAACAGACATTTACATCGATAGTCTGGCGTTATAATTTATTTGCTTTTGGTGAACTGTGGAGTGGGTAAAATCCTGAACCACTCCTTTAATAGATGAATCTACTAATTTATCTCATTCATCAGAGAAACACAGAGAAAGAGAAATCCTCCAGTGTGGAGCTCTTCACTGATCTGATCCGGTCCATTGAGAGATGTCAGTCTGAGCAGCTGAAGATGATGGAGGAACAGCAGAAAGCAGCAGAGAGACAGGCTGAAGATCTCATTAAAGATCTGCAGCAGGAAATCACTGAGCTGAAGAGGAGAAACACTGAGCTGGAGCAGCTCTCACACACTGAAGATCATCTCCATCTCATACAGGTCTGTCAACATCTCTCAGTCAATATGTACAATATTACAAGACAAACACTCTGTCCCAAAACATGAGATGCTTGAATATTTTATTTTTACCAGTCTAGAAATTGCACAAAAGAGAATGAAGCGGTAATAGTCAAATTTGAAAATTTGGTTAACTATGCTTGAAAGGTACTGTGTAAAACATTAACTATAAATATAAAAAATAACATTTAATAATTCTCTCTCTCTCCTGCTATAGATGAGCTCATCCATGGACAGTTGTCCAAACACTAAGAACTGGACTGAGATCAGGATTGACTCTGATGTGAATGTGAGCTCTCTGTATAGAGCCCTGACTCAACTGAAGAAAACTAATCAGACACTAAATGAAAAACTCAATCAAACTGGTATGTGAATATCAAATACAGTAGATCTTTTTCGTCATTAACTAAGAAAATAATGTTTCCAAGGTATATTATGGGTTAAATCCAATTTGATTTCCATTACACGAGAGTAGATGTTAAAACTTCATGCTGATTTGTACTCGGCTTTCGCCAAGATAAGCAAAACTAAGACGTAGCTTTACAGTAAACTATGCTTCTCCATCCATTTACGCTTCTTTCCATATGGTGCTGTGACTCCCCTTCTGTCCGGCGTTAACGGCTGCAGTGTAATTGGCGCGTCAGCGCACGCGACGGCTGCAACTACAGGACCAGCACGACATCCGTCTGGATTGAGCCGAGTAGGGGACATCTCTAGGGTCTTCAAGTGGGCACCTTCCGTCCTCAGTGTTTCGTCGACTAGCCCACGACACCTCAAGAGGGCTCGACAGTGACTCTGGCGTCCCAGAGTCACCCCCCTCCGTCCCCCACTCAACTCAGCCCAGCTTACTGACCTCTACATCCCTCCTGCTGCTGAGACCTAACCACAATCTCACCGCAACCCAACCATACGCGCCAACCCGTTTGACTAAGGCTGTCGAGCCCCACTGCTGCGTTAATATGCAGTTTCAGTGGACAACGGTTCCGTATGGCATACCACCTACCGCAAAACACAATATCTGCCCAACCTCCCGTCATTCACGCAATATCCACAGGAACGTATACAAATAAACCAACAGACTCTTCAAGTTTTCAAGAATTACGAAACCGTAGTGTGGCGGCCTGCACACAGCCAGCTAGAATCTTTCCGTCTCAACCACAGCCAGTTGCTGCTCCTTTCTGCTGCTTCAGATAAGTTCTTTACTGTGCGACTCAACTCTTGGCCGCTGAATCCGATGTCTCTGAGGAACCGGGTTGTATAGTGTGCCACAAAACCTCGACAACCCAGTTCCACTGGATAAACCTGGACTCTCCATCCTCGCTGTTCTGCTTCAGTGGCCAGAGGAGCATACCGCAGTTTCTTCCTCTCATATGCCTCATCTACCGCATCCTCCCATGGCACTGTTAACTCTATCAGTTGAACAATGCGTGCTGATCCAGACCACAAAACAATATCTGGTCGTAGGTTAGTGGTGGCAATCTCAGGTGGAAAAATAAGCTGTTGATCAAGATCAGCCAGCATCTTCCAGTCCCTAGCAGCTTCCAGTTGTCCTGGGCGAGAATTGGTGTTAACACCTTTTCTTGGTGGTTGCTCACCTGGGCGGAGGAATATTGTCTTCTGCGTGTAATGTTTTGCTAGAACAGGAGGCAACTTATTGGTCATGTTACGCTTGCCTTCTAATGCTAAAGCCAAACATCGCAGTACTTGGTCATGGCGCCAAGTAAACCGACCTTGCTAAGAGCCACCTTACATCCTGTCAAAATGTGCCTTAATGTGGCAGGTGATGAACACAAAGGACAAGAGGGATCCTCTCCTACCCAGAGGTTTAGGTTCTGCGGTGATGGGAGAACATCATATGTTGACCTAATAAGGAAACTGATCCTACTCTCTTCCATTGACCAAAGGTCTTGCCAGCCCATCTTACGTTGTTCCACACTCTCCCATCTCATCCACTCTCCCTGCTTGGCCTGGGAAATGGCCTTTATACACCTCATCCTCTCCTCCTGCTTACGCACCTCGTTGACTAACATAACTAACTAACCCTGTGTGACCAGAGCGGTACTTTCTGTATAATTAGATTCAGATGACAATGACTACAACACTCTGGGATTTGTACCCAAGGAAACACAAGAAAAGGAAAACAGGTTCGACAATGAGAAGACAGAGACATGTTGTCCAATTAAACAAAGAAATACATTTTATTCAAAAGAAAAAAATCATCCCAGAATAATCATAATCAAATACTCACTAGCAAGTTTGTTACAATAATAATATTAAAAACTCACAAGGCTAAAAATAAAATTTCTTCAAACACACGTAATGCAATGTTCAAATCAAGCCAAAAAACAACATCACAAAACTAAAGAAATGTTGTACCTTCTGTTGTGAACTTTTTCTTCGTCGAAGCAGGGACCAGGAGGCGTGGTGCTATCTTTCAAGCAGGAGTTACTCTTTATTGAGGACTCGCTGTGCGTCGCTGTAGTCACCCAAGTCTAAGGCAGTGTACATTGTAGTTTATTAAGTTTTTAGTGGGCAGTGCTTAGAAATGGAGACAAAGCACTTGGGTGACAACCTTAAACAAAGCATGCGAATGAAGTATCCAGGCATAAGAACCTACCCTAGACTCTAGAGTGTTAATCAAATCAACATAGCTATTCAAAGAATGGGACAGGGGCTCCAAGAGCCATTAACCCTCTGGGGTCGGCGGTCTCGCCGGCGATACAAGCTCACTTTTTTCCTTATCAGTGCAAAAGAGACTCAAATTACTCTGTTGATTTTGATCTTACATATAAGTGTTGTACATCATTCGATCCTGTTAAGTTTGTATTTTTTTTGTGGAACCTCATAATAAAAACAAAGTGTTGTGCTTTTCGCCTAATAAAGAAAAATAAACATGATGCGCGTTCTGCGTTCTCTCTGTCAGTGAAGTCCCTTCTGAAACGCGTCCGAAAAATGAACTGTAACTCTGCAAATACTCAGTCAAACAGGTATACAGGCACACAGGCATGAAGCCTGAATTATCTTCTTTTAAATGAAGTAATTTATATAAAAAACTAATTTTCTCATTTTATGTAATCTGTACGAAAAGAGAGAGATGATAGTCGTTCTCGTCTCAGCTCATTAAAGGGTCATGAAACCCCCCTCTATCAGCTCAAGTCTAGCTCATAATCTTTTTGAAAAATGCAACTTAAATGGGCGTGGATGGCTTTGAGAAGAAGGGAGGGAGTGGGTGTAGCACGGCAGGGGAGAGGGGGAACTGTCATCAGCCAGCAGTGTTGCCAGATGTACGATAATTATCGTATTTGTACAATAATTTTGACCTCTGTACAATGTACGATCAATAATGAACAATAATCTCAGAGTTTTCAGTCGTTCGTCCAAACACACATCCTACCGCTTCTCTCTCTAAACCCCGAATCATTTCGCAGGCTCGCCTGCCTGCACGTACACACACACACAACACGGTGTCGCCCTGCCCGCACGTCAACACTACACATTCACAAGTCTCCCGCATTAAGCATACAATTGATATATTATCGAAATATCTAAAAGGTTCATAACGACCGCTTATTTAACAAAAGGCAAGTAAAATGACCAGGGTTACATTTTAGACACACTCTGAAGGGATAGAAAAGTCCTCAGGACTTGGTACCGCATTACTCACAAGACGTAACTTGCATTGGTCATCGACAAGGCCGAAGTCCACCATTCTCCAATTCTCGAAGCTCTCTCGGGTAAAATGTTTGCGGCACTTGCGTCCCATGATGGTCTCTCTCCTTTACTAAGCGATATCACAGTTTGACATGTCTGTGGAAAGATCCACGTGGTGTCATGAATAATTAAGAGACCGTGTCTTCTCATAGGATATAAAAACTCAGTCTCATTAATAATTATGAGACACCGATGAGTCATCAACGCACTACACTGTGCACTGCCACGTCACAGCCTGCGATGAAGATTTTAAACCCGGAAGACGAAAATAGCTGGAAAAAACTAAAATTTAACCATTTTCGCCCTACTATTAAATCTAACAGATGCTAACATTGTCTTCAATGTTGTTCAACACACATACCTCTGTTAAAATCTCAGAAAATTTGGTTTAGGGTTTCATGACCCTTTAAAGTTAATTTGACCACGCCCACAGCGCGCGCTCTATTCAAACACAAATGCTCTGAGGCGATCCACGCCCACACATCAGCTGGATAATCCACCGAAAGAGACTCAGATTTACGACGCTGTGAGGAATAATACTATCTTAATAATAATCCTGGAAAAAATTACCTCAGAAGTGCAGGTAGTTTCATTTGGAGGAGCAACAGATCCAGCTGAGGAATAGGTACATTCTTTATTTTCAAGTGCTTTGTGCTAATCGCGATATGAAATAGTATCTGTAAACAAAAAGACTGTTTGAATATGAATCGTGTTTTTGTGTGTGAATGAATGAACAGCTTTTACCTAATTATATTCCAATAGTGAGATGAGTAAAAATCGACTGAAATATGTTGAAATAAAATATTTTTGTATAAGCAACGTATTAAACTGCAAATTAACATTTATATGTCCTAATCATAAAAACGATATGGTACATATGAAAGACAAGATATCGTTTTTACTGTAAAATACTGCCACATCAAATAAGCTTGTTTGCTAAGATGTTATTATAGTGTTTGTTCGATTGTAGGCTATATTCAAACTAATTAATCCGCAACTGTGAAATATGTATGATAAAATGTATACTTTAGTATATACAAAGAAAGATTACATTTGAAATATACCGTAATTCCTCAAATAAAGACCGGTATTCAAATAAACGCCGGGCCTCTGATAGTGGCCGGGGGCGTGGTCAACGCGGACAAATAAAGGCCGGTCTCAAATTAAGGCCGGGGAAAAAATGGTGTGAATAGGTACACTTTAAATGAGTGTACACTCAAAGACGGACGCGCTCAGCGCTTGTCATATATCACAACTATTCAGTGTTTTTAACCACATGTTTATTTTAGGTTTCAGACATTTAAATAGATATGATTTATAGCAAAACAAAAAATTTATAGTTTGTAAAATACACAATGGTGTCTATGAAAGCAGCAATAACAATCCATTCAAATATATTTGGCGACGTGTTTTATTCATATCAGATACACAGTGTGTAAGTAACTATAAAGTTTACTCTATTCTTCTCCCAGTTCACCGGCCACTTACTTTCATGTATTTCGGGAGAAACTGAAGAATTCACGCGCTGTAACTTAACAAATACAACAGGAATCTCCGAACTGCGGTGCCCATCTCACGTTACAGATCAAGATAATTTATAAAGGGTTTTAAACGACAAAACAAACTCACTTACACGGATTTGAGAGTCAGAATA